GCGCTCGGAGGAACAGTCCGTCCTCTTGGATCTGCCGCTAGTGTGCGTTTGATTATGCCGTGTGTCCTTCTCTTCAAACAGAAGTCTGTCTACAAAGGGAAAACGATAGCATCAAACAGCTGCCATTTGGAATGGTCATTGTAATTCCAGCCTATGACCTTTCTGACTATTATAATGCCAGGAAGTGACCCACCGGGCATTTTCTCAACTGGAATCAGGCCTCTGCCCAATCACTGAAAACTAGGGTAAAACAGGTTGCAGTAATTTGGCTGGAAAGTAATGTTATGTTTTATACATGTCAGCGTCAATGGAATGGGCATGGTTGCATGAATGTTACATGAAGAATTGTGTAACTACAATGTCAATGTGGACAAACTGGCATACGAGTTGAGAAAGAACAACATAAGTAACATCTAAAATCTTTTTTTTCTTGTCGTTATCTACTAGCATGTCTCAGAGGAGTAAAACATCTTCAAAAGAAAGGTACGGGTGGCTCTAAATCAATACTTACATTGGTTGCAGTGATGTGCGGTGTGGTCACTACAGCTCTTCTCTTCCTTTAGCAGCTCCTCTCGTCCTCCGTCCACATCAGACGCTCATCCTCCACGCTCTGCTCTTCGTAACTCCTCCAAAGACTCGAAGAACTCAGGTCACGGGGGCTCATCTGACAGCCAAGGACGCCGCGGCAGTAGATCCTTCAGCCAGAATTCTGCTATTGCTGCGGCTTATACACAGTACCTCAATGCTCTCTTTGGACAGGTAAACTTAGCAGATCTCTAGATGGATTCTTGCTGGTTTTGTCGAGTGATCTTCATTTAAATGATTACAATTTGGTTAGACAGGTGATTACAAAATGAATAAAAATAGAAACCAGAAGATACTACGGTAATACCATACTATTCCTCAACGTACCTTTGAGCAACATTTAAATATGTCAATGAACCTTACATTATAGTATTAGAATATATTTAATATATTTTAAATCAGATTTAAAAAATATATATTTTAACGTTTCATTTTAGTTTAAATTTTAGTAACTTTGTGTTTTTGTCATTATTATTTTTCTATTTTTCTATTTAGCTTTCATTTGTTTACTTATTTTTTTAAATGTTACTAATTTTAAAAACTTAAACACATTTCAGTTCTTGCCAAGCCGGCATCTCTAATTTTCATTTATGTTTCAGTTTTTCATCTAATATTTATAATATATTAAATTATAATATATTGAAATATAATATCTAATATTTTATTTTATATCAGCTTTATTTCAGTTATTGAAAACTATTTTTAATAATTTTTAGTTTACAACAACACTGATTCAGCATCATGGTATTATCATTTGATACCATCACTGCACCATATTATCACCATATTACTGAAAAAAAAATAAATAAATCAGTCCATCCTAAACAGGTCTTAGCTGGCTTAAGATGGTCTCCTATCTTGGCCAAGCTGGTGTTTAGCTGATTTAATGTGTGTTGGTCTCCCAGACTGACCAGGTTGAAAAGTGTCTAAAACCAGCCTGAGAGATCAACTAAAACCAGCTAACTAGCTTAGAATGGTTTAAGGTGTTTTTAGACACATGGACTTTTTTATAGCCGTCTAGCTAGTTTGTTTGACTTATTTTTATTATTTAAACCGATATATCCAGGATGGCACATCAATGCGTCTTTATTTAGCATGAAGTCAGGTTCATAATCTGATACGTCTGCGGAGAAAATATTGCCGCCTGTCAACACACTACCTTCCTCCTCAATCAGGTCAGTAACAAGTGCCAAGCCAAATTATTTTGGTACACTGAAGCTCAGACCTAAGCTAGCATCTTGCTTCTCCTTTTAAAACTGACGCAATAAATCTGTCACGATTTACTAAATCATAGTCATTTAAACTCAGAGGCGCTTGATTATATTTTCAAGAGTACGTCTGGAGATCAGAGAGAGCCAGTGAAAGCCAGAAGACAGAGAGGCTGCAGAACAGTAAGAGAGAGATAATGGATAGAGTCTAAGAGACAAACCTATATATTCTCTATATGGAGAATATACCAATGTATGCATAGCCTAAAGCTCCATGGCTTCTGCTCAGCAGGATTGGAGGGATGAATGAAAGAAAAACAGATAGACAAGGGACCCTATTAGCATATATCCGAGGATAAATAGCCTGAAGCAACACACCAAGTTGCATAACCGCTACCTCTGTCAGAGAAGTCTATGAGTAATGCATTATTTTTAATAATAAATATGTGTTTTTAGGGAATTTGGAGGTCAAAAGTCCAGTGAATGCAGCGAATGAAACATTTGAAAGACAGCGATGCCTTTGGGCACCAGCTTTACAAATCAATTAGTAAAAGTTTTAATATACATACCCATGCCACATTGGATTAGCATCACAGTTACAAGGTTATCTAGTTAGCCAAGCGCAGGAACAGTGTCGTTAGGTGAAATTAAAGTTGATGTGTGTCATTTGTTTTAATGCTAAATACTTTATATGTAGAAAGTAAGCAATTTAAAGATTATTTATGGTGCTATCAAAATATTAAGATGATTTGATTAAAAATCCAGATCAATCTGACACAGAAACACTGGCTCAACCAATAGTATGAGTTTGGGGTAGCTGTTTAATGGGCTATATGGAAGGCAGGAAAGATAATAAAATAACATGTGAAATACTAAACTGATAAATAATAAATACAATTTAGATACAGTTAAGAAAGCCAAGACTGCAGGGGACCCAAGCAACATGTGGGACAGGGCAAAATCACCATTTTAAGATGTGAACCAGACAGATTTATTTTAGGTAACTTTCATGCTAGGTTAATTTGGACCTATGTTTTTTTTTTTTTTTACTACGAGAACAAAAACATTGGATTTGTAAGACAGAAGAGCATTCAGAAAACCTGCTTAAAACTGAAATTTCAAATTGCTTGAAATTTCATTTCATGAAGCAATTGGGTCAACATTTTTTCAATAAATTATTTTAATGTCAAAGACTGTGCAAAATCTGTTTTTCAATATACAGTGAAGCTACAGGACGGGTTTGCTTAAAAAAAATGTTACACGAAGAAAAAAAAAACGTTAATAAACATGCATGCATATGTATGTTTATGCCTTATATGAATCTATTTTCTGAAAGTGCTAGCAGATACTGCATATTTGTTTGTAATCAAGTCAAACATTCAAGTCAACTTTATTTGTATAGTGTATATGTATGTGTATTTGTATGATTTTAACATATTAAAGCATATGTGCATGAATCTAAATAAACCTGCATTCGAGGATATTATTTACGAAATACAGCAATAATATAGTTTTTAAACCGTTTCTCTCCTAAACGTTCTTTCTCTTTTTCCTTTAATACACATTGCCCCTTAGTTAATTTTTTCCCCTGAATCTCTCTGCCGTTTTTTGTTTGTATGAGCGTTGACGTGAGGCATTGTAGGGCATGTTATGGTATAATCCAATTATACAATCCCCCCCCACCCCACTCTATGCGTCATTGTGCCACTGAGCAGCTTTGATAAGCGTGCTAACATAAACCTCAGTTATTAGTGATTAAAAATGGGCGATGTCTCTAAGGACGTTCAGCTCTCATGCTGTAATAATTTCCATATTTAGCTGTTTTTGTGTCACGATTTTTTTTTCCTCATTGTCATTTTGCTCTCTCATCTCTCTTGTCCTTCTACCTCTCTCTCGCTCTCTCTCCCATTTACTTTCACCAGGACAGAGATTTACTGCCAGAGGAACTAGATGGTATGTACAGAACATGGATATTTAATATCCAAGCCAGTGCACAGCACCTAGACAGACACAATACAATTGCTACAACACATTCAGCATAAGATAAATAACCGACAAGATTCAATAACATCTGACACAAATAAATTTGATTAAAAATGGATTGGTATTGTCATGAATGGTGAATGGCGTACAGAGGATGAAGGCGTAAGCAGCATTAATAATACCAGAGCAGTGAGTCAGCCTGTGCTGGTGGTCCTATACCCGCTTAAGCTGCACGGCCCTATAGATTATAAAACTGGTACAGTATGTGGCATGTAAATGTCCTAATGTAATCATATTGTAAAGTTTTTGTTTCCTGAAAGATTTTACTGTATACAAGATTTGTAATTTTAGCTACCCTGTTACAGAAATGTGTCTAAAGTCAGTTTAAACCCTGATCTGTGTGATTTTGTAATTTCATTAAGATTAAATAAACATGTAAATTAAAAAGGAGTAGCACATTATAATTAACAACAGAACACAATAAAAATAATACATTTTAAATACTAAACTAATAAAAAATAAATACAATTTGGATCTAAGAAGGCTAAGACTACTAATGTGGGACAAAATCCCCATATATATATATATATATATATATACACACACACACACACACACACACACACACACACACACACAAAAACAAACACAAAACCCACAAAACATTCTCCATTCAGAGTAATACCTAAGCCAAATACTATATACTGCAATTTGAAGAAAAGTTGGCAGCGTGATTAAATGTGACTACATTTCTTTTCCTTTCAGAGCTGCATGTGGCATTTAAAGAGTTTGACTATGACCAGGACGGGTATTTGCACTACAAAGATGTCGCAGACTGCATGAGAACCATGGGATACATGCCAACAGAGATGGAACTGATTGAGATCATTCAGCAGATAAAAATGAAATGTGAGTGTGTGTGTACTGGTATATATGGTTTATGAGGACACAAATGTGTATAATGACATGGGTACTACAACGTAAACATGGTTTATGAGGACACTTCCTGTGTCTCCGTAAAACAAAAGGCTTAAAAAACATATAAAACGCTGTTTTATGAAATTCAAAAATTGCAAGTAGTTTTCTGTGAGGGGTAGGTTTAAGTGTAGGGTTGGTGTAGGGCGATAGAAAATACAGTTTGTACAGTATAAAAACCATTACGCCTATGGAGAGTCCCCGTAAACCACAAATGCAAATGTGTGTGTGTGTGTGTGTGTGTTTTCCAGGTGTGTGGATACGACACGTCCGCTCTCAGCGCCGGTCCTCTCTTCAGAGTTCCTATAACGGTTATAATCCCTGCGAAGTACGTCCAACTGATCTCTTCCGCTAGCATCTGTGTTTCTGCTGGTGTGTGACATGTGTTTGTGTCTTATAGAGTAGCTGATAGTCGCAGTCAAGAGATCACGTTCACAGACGCCCACTTCAGACCAGGACAAATCCGGCGCCATTTCATTACCGTCCCTCATGGAGCATCATGGGCAGGTAATATTTGTGTGAATGAATGATGCATCACTGCAGTTTTGTGCAGACATAGATCTATGATCTAATTATTCAGTGCATCCGTGTCTCTTTCAGAAATCTCATTAACGTCTCACTCTGGAGATGTGTCGTCAAAGTTCGTCCTGCATGCAGTTCATCTGGTGAAGCAGCGAGCGTATCGAGCCAATGAGTTTTATAAGTTCTCATCTCTGCTGGAGAAAGGCTCACTCACGGAGGCTTTTCCTGTGCTGGTACAAAATACGCATACTCTCATATATTTATTTCTGTGGTTATTTTACACATGTGATTCAATCCTAGTTTTTCTGTGTCTGTCAGGTCACATGTTCATCTGTGTGTGTCTTTTTCAGCCTGGTCGGACTTTGGAACTCTGTGTTGCTCGCTGGTGGGCGAGTCTCGGTGACGTCACCATTGATTATGTCATTTCCTTCCACGGGCTGGTGACATCACCCTCTCCTCTTCATATTGTGAGTATCTTCAGGTTTTAGTATTTAACAGCACCTTTCTGTTTGGAGTCAGTAAGAAATAAATACTTTTGTTCAGCAAAGATGCATTAAACTGATCAAAAGTAACAGTAAAGACATTTATAATGTTACAAACGATTTCTATTTCAAATAAATGCTGTTCTTTTCAACTTTCTATTCATCAAAGAGTCCTGGAAATTAAAATGCATCATGGTTTACACAAAAATATAAAGCTCCGTAAAACAAAAGGCTTAAAAAACATATAAAACGCTGTTTTATGAAATTCAAAAATTGCAAGTAGTTTTCTGTGAGGGGTAGGTTTAAGTGTAGGGTTGGTGTAGGGCGATAGAAAATACAGTTTGTACAGTATAAAAAACATTACGCCTATGGAGAGTCCCCATAAACCACAAATGCAAGTATATGTGTGTGTGTGTTTGGGGTCAGTAAGCTCTTTTTAGAAGTTTTAATACTTTTACTCAGCAAGGATGCATTAAACGGATCAAAAGTGACAGTAAAGACAAAAGTTTTCAATTTCAAATAAATGCTGTTCGTTTGAACTTTCTATTAATCAAAGAATACTGAAAAAACTGTATCAGTGTTTCTACAAAAATATTAAACAGCACAAATGTTTTCAATATTGATAATAATAAAAATGTTTCTTGAACAGAAAATCAGCATATTAGAATGATTTCTGAAGGATCTATTTTAAATTGGAATAATATTTCACAAAATTTCTGTTTTTACTGTATTTTTGATCAAATAAATGCAGACTTGATGAACATAAGAGACAAACATAAAAATATCTAACCAACCCCAAACTTCTGAACAGCAGTGTAAGTCAGTTTAAAAGTAAAGATAAATGTCTATGTGGTGTGTTTGTGGTTATAGGGGGAGGCCATGTGGACTTTGATGATTTCTGTGAATTAATGGGGCCCAGAATGCTGGCTGAAACCGCTCATATGGTGGGTCTAAGGGAGCTGCACTGTGCTTTCAAACAGGTGAGTATGCACTCTAAAGTTCCCTTCAAAGGGAGCTCACTTTAAAGTGTACATTAAATAGAGAACAAAACGCCACAAACATCAAAACATCATTACCTTGCATCTTTTTCCAACCCATAAATAATATTACCTCTTCATAAAACTCTGCATTCCTCTCTGCCTCTCTTAGTTTGACTGTGACGGTGATGGACGGATCACCTTTGAGGAGCTGAAGGAGTCCACAAAGACGCTGCTCGGGGAGAAACTGAAGAAGGGAGAACTGGAAGAAATTCTGACAGACATTGACCTCAATGGAGATGGGAACGTGGACTTTGATGGTAAGGAAGGCAGCATCCTTTTTGAATGCACTATTCTGTTGAGCTGAATAGATCATAGCACAAGTTCAAACTCAAATCACTGAGCAGTAAACAAACAAAAAGCTGGAACTTGTATCGTAACAAATGCAAAACAATAACCATTTAACTTGTGTACAACAAGTCACTTAAAGGGTTAGTTCACCCAAAAATGAAAATTAGCCCATAAATTACTCACCCTCAAGGCATCCTAGGTGTATATGACTTTCTTCTTTCAGACGAATCCAGTTATATTAAAAATTGTCTTTGATCTTTCAAGCCGTTTAATGGCA